ATATATATATATATATATATATATATATATATTGTAGTTGATGTTTGACATGTGTTACACTGAGTCCATATGATGCATGACACTGTGTCCACGTGACGTACCACCGTGAGTCATACGTGGCACGTGACGCTAAGTTTGTATGACATTTGTCTGCGAGTGGACGTGTGTGTACAATGGTGGTTTTGGAATGTGCATATTATACATAGAACTTGTTGGAATGTTGTAAACTATAGACTTACTTATTGTAAGCCAGTAGCATGCGCACATAAAGCTAAGTCTCTGCGATTGGATATGAGTATGTAAGCCACTTAAAGTTTAGACTTAAAACTGTAAAGTAGTGTAAAATATATAGGTGATGGCGACAGTAACCAGAAGGCAACGGTCGCCATCAGTACAGCCAGCAGTTAGTGTTCATAAGGAACTAACCTGTAATAGGTGCCATATGGGCGAGGGCTGGCGTATATAACTAGATACCATGAAGTGATCAGTCTTCATAGTTTCTAGGAGCTAATACACCTTTTTAATACTCAGTAAAAGTTACATACATTCAAGTTTGGATTCATATATATATATATATATATATCATACTTCAGGTAGTGAATAATATTATCACATTATCCCGGTCATTTGTATTCACCGCCTCAATTCATTCGGCGAATAACAAAAACGTACAAGTGTGAATTACATATAGCGTGATGACAGCCATACCAGCACCCACTGTCTACGCCTGTATACGTTCCGCACCCATGTCATTGATCATTCAAACATCTATATGTGCCTAGGTGTATGTTTGTCATAATACTTCACCAATCGTAACTATTCACTCACTTATGGCATGCACCATATATATATAGTAGTACTTACAAAGTAACACTGGTATACAAATATTCAAATACTAATATTAATGTAGTAACACTCATATACTCTTACTTATATACCAATACGTATAGACCAATACTTAAATAGTAATACTCATATACAAATACTTATATACTACTACTTTTATACCAATACTTCTATACTGCTACTTATATACCAAAACAATACTTAAATAGAAATACTCACTACTACTCATATACTACTACTTATATACAAATACTTGTATACTGATACTTATATACTACTAGTTGTATACCAATATGTATAAACTACTACTTAAATATCAATACTTATATCCAATATTTAAAAAGCAATACTCGTATACAAATCCTTAAATACTGATACTTATATACTACTTCTTACGTACCAATACATATATATAAATACTCATATACCAGTACTTATCTACCAATACCTACATACTATTCCTCATGTACCACTACTAATCTACCGTTACTTGTATACTAATACTTATCCACCAATACTCATACTATTCCTCATGTACCTGTACTTAACTACCATTACTTGTATACTAGTACTTAACTACCATTACTTGTATACTTATACTAGTACTTAACTACCATTACTTCACTACCATTACATAAGTACCATTACTTAAGTACCATTACTTAAGTACCATTACTTAACGACCATTACTTAACTACCAATACTTAACTACCATTACTTAACTACCATTACTTAACTACCATTACTTAATTATCATTACTTAACTACCAATACTTAACTACCATTTCTTAACTACCATTTCTTAACTACCATTACTTAACTATCATTACTTAACTACCATTACTTAACTACCATTACTTAATTATCATTACTTAACTACCATTACTGAACTACCATTACTTATCTACCATTACTTAACTACCATTACTTAACTACCATTACTTAACTACCAATATTTAACTACCATTACTTGTATACTAGTACTTAACTACCATTACTTTACTACCATTACTTCACTACCATTACATAAGTACCATTACTTAACTACCATTACTTAACGACCATTACTAAACTACCAATACTTAACTACCATTTCTTAACTACCATTACTTAACTACCATTACTTAACTACCATTACTTAACTATCATTACTTAACTACCATTACTGAACTACCATTACTTAACTACCATCACTTAACTACCAATACTTAACTACCATTACTTAACTACCATTACTTGTATACTAGTACTCACCGCCCCTATTTCCCCAGCCATGTGCACTCCCTCAGTGTAAGGGATGAGCCGTGTGTAGCTGTCTAGTTCTCTTTCCGACAGTGTCCATGACATCTGCCGCGTGTGCCTGTGATGCGCCCGATGTTCTGCGTCGCTCTCTCTCACTCCGCGTGTCTCCGTCGTCTCTCTCGTCTGTGTGCGTGTGTTGTGTGTGTCTGTGCTTGTACTCGTACTGTGTGGGCTCGCACCGGAGGGGTCGTTGCCTGCCATATGCTGGATGTCTCCCGTGTGTGTGTTCACATGTGTGTTCGTGTGTGTGTTCACATGTGCGTTTGTGTGTGTGCTTGTGTGCGTGCTTGTGTGCTTGTGTGTGTGTGTGTCAGTGCTATCAGCCCCCCCGTCGCTGCGAGTGTGTGCCGTAGTCCCCACCCCCTCACTCCCATCGCTGGCTGCGTCTGTTGTGCCTGTGTTCATAGTACCATCTCCCAGTGCATGTGTCTCCAGAGGTGCCTGGGTATCGGCTCCTGTCATGGGCGTGTAGGAGAGTGTATGCCCATGCGTGCTAGTATCTGTATTCACAGATAGGCCAGGCATATCGGTAGAGATTGTCCGTGCCCCGCGGTCCAGAATGAAATCGTGGTGCAGTCCTACGAGCAGGAAGGGCCGGTTGGACGTGATGATCTGCAGAACAACAGGGGCCATTCAATATACACCGTTCAATGGGCCGGTCAGTAATGGGATTGTGGGGAAGGCAAGGTAACAGTACAGCGTATATGCACGTGTCTGTATATATTGTAACCTTAAATCTGTAACCCTATGAAACTCATCGTCCCGCAGAAACCCCCAATATAGTCATTTTATCCAACAGCCAATCACAAGATTGCGTTGGCTGCTGAAGCTGTAATGATGGCAGCAGCTCTTTGTTTCTGCCCCACAAATTCAAGGCCACACACTAAAAGGTTTATGTTACACGCTGCATATACGCACACAACATAGAGGGTGATGTTGGGTGCCTATACATACAGCTGATACTGTTTTATCTACCTTTCATCTACCGATGGACAGCTCCATCACATAGGGTAATCCACACCATAAACCCTAATCCCTATTTATTTTTTTGCTGTGAAGTGTGCGTTCGATAGTATGTGAGGTTGCAGACTACGAAGAAGTTTAACTGAAACACTTGCCAGCCACAGACTCTGATATGATGGGAAATGGGTAGATATATAGCCACACTCACTCCTGACAACCAATAAAATACCGCACATCAATAACTGAAAACCAATAAAATTTCTCACATTAATAGCTGACAACGAGTAGAATCCCTCACATCAATAACTGACAACCAAAAACATCTCACACAAAACCAATTGCCACTCTATACCTCGGGTGCGAGCGTGTTACAAGCAAAGGTGTACGAGTCTCTGTCTGTGAGGTTAAAGCACAGCAAGTGCACATCGGCCATCTGCAGTCCCATCTGACGGAAGTAGCTCCACTCCAGACCCATCCCCATGGTAACGTCCATGAGATTGAGGTTGACCTTGTGCCTATATATCAGTAAAATTTAAGGATAAGAGCAATGTTTGATCTCTGGCCCCACATAGACAGGGATATATATATATATATCATACATATATATATACCAATATATATAAATATATATTAATATA